AACTCAAGGCGCTACGGCACGCGTACCAGAAGACAAGGGAGGCAAACCGTTGCTCTGGTGCTGCACCACAGACCTGCCATTTTTATATGGAGTTGGATGCTACTCTCAGTGGTGACCCCACTTTCACTGCCAAGAGCCCCAGGGCTGGAGCTGGCAGAAAATGGACCTAACCCAGAGGACGAAAAGCAACAGAGGGTCCTGTGGCACCTTTGAGACTAACAGAAGTATTGGGAGCATAAGCTTTCGTGGGTAAGAACCTCACTTCTTCAGATGCAAGACAGAGGACGAAGTTATCAATCAACACGTAGAATTAGACAATCATGTGGAGCCCACAGCAGGGTCGCAGTGTGGTGTCTCTAGTCAGGAGCTGTTCTACACTCCAGAGGTGTCTAGCCAGTCTCAGCAGTCACACTCCAACAAGCAAGAAGCAGGAGAGGAGATCCCTGATAAGTGGTTTTGCTTTGTGAAGTGCAGAGATGGGTTGAGGGCATAGAAATGTACAAGGTGGGCTGTGTTTCTGTGTGCTGGACATATCCCTGTACAACTAAGCAGTATGGCGGAACAGGGGCTTGATGCACACCAAGATTTCACAGGAATCCTCCAGAAAGATCTCTAGGAAACTCTTCTGGAGATACTTGGCAATCCTCTGCCGAAGCTTCCTTGGCAGATCTGTTTTGTTCCTTCCCCCATTGAAGAAAACTTTCCCATACCATTCTGCAATCACTTGTGCAAGGACCAAAGCAGCACACAGGCGAGCAACATAGGGACTAGAGCGGAACCTGCAAGTGTATAGTAGATACACCCTTGCTCCTCTGCTTACTCTCAGGAGTGAGATACCTGGTACAATGACCCCCACCTGTGGAAAAGAGTGTGAAATTTAAAATATTGGCCCCAGTTGACTGCACCACGACCCTTTCATATTGCTTTTCTCCCCATGTAAAATGCCCTCCACCCCGCGATAAACTCACCATGCTTGGGGTGTTCGCTGGCATGTGTGCTTGTTAAGGGTCAGTGAGAAAGTGATTGGTGTGTTACTAGAGGTGTATTCTAATGTACTGTTTCAATGCTGTACTTGTACTTAATCATGCTTCTGTGTATTGTTCTTTGCGTTTCTGCAAATGCAACCTTCAGAGGCATCCCCTACACACTGGTGGAGTGCCTCCGCTGGATAAGAAAGCGCCCACGCCGGAGCAAGGAGGACATGTTCCAGGAGCTGCAATACTCAAATGCAGAAAAGAGGGAACGCAGGCAGTGGAGGGAAATCGAAAGGCAGGACAGAAAAGAAAATGAGGCCTTTATTAGGGACCCAACTGACAGGATGATTAAAATTATGGAGCAGCAAACAAATGCTGAAGTCCCTCATAATGCTCCAGACTGAGCAGATGGTGCATGCCCACCTTCCCCTTCAGAACTCTTTTCTATGCCTTCCCCAAACTCCACCTTGCGCATTCCTTTCTGCTTTCTGGGACTTCTCGCTTTCCCATTCACTCCACCCCAACAGACACCTTTTAAAATGATAGCTGGACTTACGCACTGCTCTAAAAGTCAGCCATCCCCTGCTACCTCCTCTCCCCTCAAGCATTTTTGTGTGTGTGTGTGGTATTGTTTTTTGTGCAATAAAAGCTAAGTTTTTTGAAGGATAAGCAATCTTTGTTTCCTGCAAATTGTGATAGCAGATGGCAGCAACAAATAAACAGTTTAATCATTTGCTTACATGGAATCCTAGGCCACAAAAATCACAAGTGCTTCCTTGCAAAACTCAATTTCATTGAGTTGGGAATTAGCTGATGTGATTGCAGAGCCACTGGCCATTATCTTTGAAAACTCGTGGTAATTGGGGGAGGTCCCAACCGATTGGAAAAAGGCAAATATAGTGCCCAACTTTAAAAAAGGGAAGGAGAACCCGAGGGACTACAGACCTGTCAGCCTCACCTCAGTCCCTGGAAAAATCATGGAGCAGGGACTTAAGGAAACCATTTTGAAGCACTTGGAGGAGAGGAATGTGATCAGGAATAGTCAACATGGATTCACCAAGGGCAAGTTATTCTTGACCAAGCTGATTTCCTTCTATGATGAGATAACTGGCTCTATGGATATGGGGAAAGCAGTGGACGGGATATATGTTGACTTTAGCAAAGCTTTCGATACGATCTCCCACAGTATTCTTGCCAGCAAGTTAAAAAAAGTATGCATTGGACGAATGGACTATAAGGTGGATAGAAAGCTGGCTAGATTGTCGGGCCCAACGGGTAGTGATCAATGGCTCGATGTCTAGTTGACAGCCGGTATCAAGCGGCGTGCCCCAGGGGTCGGTCCTGGGGCTGGTTTTGTTCAACATCTTTATTAATGATCTGGATGATGGGATAGATGGACCTAGACAAATTGGAGGATAGGGCCAAAAGAAATCCGATGAGGTTTAACAAGGACAAGTGCAGAATCCTGCACTTAGGACGGAAGGCTCCCATGCACTGCTACAGTCTGGGGACCGATTAGCTAAGCGGCAGTTCTGCAGAAAAGGACCTGGGGATTACAGTGGATGAGAAGCTGGATATGAGTCAGCAGTGTGCCCTTGTTGCCAAGGCGGCTAATGGCATATTGGTCTGCATTAATAGGAGCATTGCCAGCAGATCAAGGAAAGTGATTATTCCCCTCTATTCGGCATTGGTAAGGTCTCATCTGGAGTACTGCATCCAGTTTTTGGCCCCCCCAGAAAAGATGGACAAATTGGAGAAAGTCCAGCGGAGAGCAACAAAAATGATCAGGGGGCTGAGGCACATGAGTTATGGGAAGAGGCTGAGGGAACTGGGCTTGTTTAGTCCGCAGAAGATACGAGGGAGGGGGGGGATTTGATAGCAGCCTTCAACTACCTGAAGGGGGGGTTCTCCAAAGAGGATGGAGCTCGGCTGTTCTCAGTGGTGGCAGATGACAAAACAAGGAGCAATAGTCTCACGTTGCAGTGGGGGAGGTCCAGGTTGGATATTAGGAAACACTATTTCACTAGGAGGGTGGTGAAGCACTGGAATGGGTTACCTAGGGAGGTGGTGGAATCTCCATCTTTAGAGGTTTTTAAGGCCCAGCTTGACAAAGCCCTGGCTGGGATGATTTATTTGGGGATTGGTCCTGCTTTGAGCAGGGGGCTGGACTAGATGAGCTCCTGAGGTCTCTTCCAACCCTAATCTTCTATGAACCTAAGCATTGCAGTCCCGAGCATAATATACATTACTGGTTCTCATCTTCAAAGTGTTTCTACAAAGCCTCTCTGATTCAAACTGCCCCCCTTTGTGCCCCACTTATAGCCCTGATATCTGGCTGTTCAAAAGCCGCAGCCAGGCATTCTGCACCTCAGGAACACAGCCCTGAGCAAATTTTTCACCCTTCTCTTCACAAATATTGTGCAATGTACAACATGCAGCTATGACCATGGGAATATCCTCTCCAGCCTGCCTTTAATCTGCTAAACGCACATTTCACGGTCATCCTGCACCTACTCAGCCTATTGTTGAACAGCTCCTTATTGCTATCCAGGTTTCCCGTGTAAGGCTTCATGAGCTATGGCATTAAGGATACGCCAGGTCTCCCAGGATCACAATAGGGATTTCAACAACTTTCTATTCAGGCTGGTGTTCCTGAAGATGCATGCGTCAGGCACCTTTCCGGACCACACCGTGTTGATGTCAGTGAAATGCCCATGGTGATCCACACGTGCCTGCAACACCATGGAGCAGTACCCCTTCCTAGTGATGTACTCAGTCGCAAGATGGTCTGGTGCCAAAATTGAAATTTGCGTGCCATCTATAGCCCCTCCACAGTAAGGGAAACCCATTTCTGCAAAGCCATCCACTATTTCACACACATTGCCAAGAGTCACAGTCCTTCGTAGCAGGATGCGATTAATGGCCCCGCACACTTGTGTTAACAGTCCCAACAGTTGACTTCCCGACTCCAAACTTATTTGCGACCGCCTGGTAGGAGGCTGGAGTCACCAGCTTCCACACTGTGATCACCATGCACTTCTCCACCGAGAAGGCAGCTCTCATTTGGGTGCTCTAGCCCTGCAGGTAAGGATGAGCTCAACACACAATTCCAGGAAGGTGGCTTTCCTCATCCAAAAGTGCTGCAGCCACTGCTCATCATCCCAGACCTGCATAACAATCCAATCCCACCACTCAGTGCTAGTTTCCTGAGCTCAAAAGCAACGGTCCACCACGTGCAGCTGTTCCATGAATGCCAAAAGTAATTTAATGTTGCTCTTATCCATGTCAGACAGCACATCAGACAACTGTGAATCTCTGAGTTAAGAACTTCATTATTAACTACACTGCCATTCGCAATGTGCTACTGAGAGCTAGCAGAGCATTGAAGAGCAGTGCAGGAGCCATTCTTTCAGGCAGAAATGGCGGGCTGAGCAGAAAACAAGGGATGTTGAAAAATGCCACGAACTGAAGACAGAAGCACGTGGAATGCTAGGATGCAAAGCAGTGCATCATGGGACATTGAGCCTGGACCCATGATGCGCTGTGATCTACTCCACCTTCCTACAAGACCTAGTGGCAGAAGGTGGAGAGCTGAACTGTGGGATAGCTTCCCATAGCGCATTGCTCTGTGTCGATGCTGCTGCCCCAAGTGTGGACGTTCTCTTCTGACAGAAAGACAGCATGAACATGCAATAATGATTTTCTTTTAGCACTTTTTGATAGCCAACAAAACTTTACACTGACAGTTTTTTTGGTAAGACATGGCCTAAGGTGTTGGTAACTAAGCTGTATGATATTGGCAGTGAATCTACCTTCTTGATGGAAGTTTTGAAATAATATGCTTCTTTGAAATCATAAGTTTGCCTGGTCCTGCCATAAAGGAGAAAATGTTACCCAGAATGAAGAGGTGGAAAAAGCCACCTTTTGCAGGAGAGACCAATGTTACTAATACAGTATTCAGAGTAGCAGTCGTGTTAGTCTGTATCTGCAAAAAGAACATGAAAGCTTATGCTCAAATAAATTTGTTAGTCTCTAAGGTGCCACAAGTACTCCTGTTCTTTTTACTAATACAGTAGTAGCAGCATTTCACTAGGAAGGAGTACAGAATTTTAAGCCGGGACCCAGAAGAGTGCTCCAGGGTACTGTTCTGATGGAGATTACAGCTTTCACAGAACAGTTAAAACTTAGCCCTTCACCACATAGAGAGCCAAACTTCCAAAGTGGTGGAATAAACCCTCTGTCATAGTTAAATTCCAGCTTGCTGAATTGCAATTCATCCTACATAATATTATTATCAGTTTCAATTGAATGACAATTTTCCTTTCTAAATTGCTGCATAATGAGTGTGAGACAGTTGTTGCCTAAGTTCAGGCATAGCTGAAACAATATCTGTATGTAAGTGTTTTGCTGTTGTATCGTACACATATACTGGATAAACTAAAATTCTGGGTTTATACCTACATGATAGAACTCCATTCAGTTTTATGAAAGGATTGCGGTCATCTCACAAGAAAGGATCATTTATTACAGTTGGAGACAAATTATACAGGTAAGGGATATTGAAATCCTTATACAGAGCTAAAAACAAGCATTACTAATTTGAATTAAGATAAGCAGTCAGACTAGTTCTTGCATCTAGAACTTCTGCTTCATGTCCGACAACCCACTAGTTTTATTTTAAAAACGACAGCAAGGCAAACCTATCATTTTGATCCAATAACTTGTACAGGTAGAAAAGAGAATATATGTAACTTGCTCCTGTAGAAAGCTTACTACAATTCGCTATTCTTCTGTGCAGCAGTTACAGGAAACCTAATTTGTGGAGACATACAAATACCATGTTTGCAAACATTAGAAATAACTAGAGTTGCATTTAACAGGCCCTTGCACGGCACATAATAAAGCTATACAAAGACCATTTCTGCTAAAATACTTAGTATTTTAAGATTTATCTACCATCAGGACAGTTGAGATATATTTACTTACCATAAAACTGTCTATTTAATATCTGTGAAATTTCAGATTTGCTGAACTTGTCAGGATTCTTTTTGCACCAACTGCTTGTAATGGCTGAGGCAGAAGGTATGAAAATTGACACTCTCCCAATCGGAAGGGAGTCTTAATGCATCTCCTGGGTAAGATGGCTGTATATCACTCCTTTTCACCATATATCTACCCAACAGAGGACAAGAAGGATACAAGAGTAAGGTACTGCATGTACAGGAGAAAATTCAACAGGATGTTATAGAACACCATTAGTCAATGGCATCCCCTCAGTCACCTATTTTCCCCAACAATTCCTTTCTACGGACTTCTCATAGGAAGAATGGTTTTTCATTTAAATTTAAACACTATATCAAATTCAGTGATCTTGTATGTATTATCTTGAATGTATTACAAGAGTCACATTTATTAATGTCAAGAATCAAGGTACAATAATTCTACCATTGCCCTTAAACTGCTACCATTGCACACAAAAATTAGCATATTGACATCTAAAAGATGCATCCATTTTCATATGGATGTTTAATCACTACTCAACAAAATGCTAGATTTAGAGTAGTAATTGCAAAAAAGGCTTTCTGGGGAGCACCCTATAGGTATAAAATCCAGCTGAATTGTGTATCTGATTTCCTTTGTATTATAAACCCCTAAACCACCTGAGGAACATGTTAACTATAGAATCATCCTGCTAAACAAGGCACTCTTGCCTCAGACATGATCACATAGTTTCTCATAAATTCAATACAAGATTTCAAGTATCAATTAATTCAACCAAAATTTAAGATTCAAAGTTAAATATTTTCCTAACATACATGTATTTTATTTCCTTAGTAAAGCAGCTTGTGATGTGGAGGTTATTGTACCCCTGGAGCATAAGTTTTTGGAAACACAAGAAACAGGTTAGTCATAGCTTTTTTAAATTTATTTATTTATTGAACTTCCAAGCTGTGTTTACATATAACAGTTACCAGGAAAGGAAAAGAATGTAGGTATTCCATTTTATATCCTAGGGAAAGGAACACTGTCAGGAAAACTCCTAATCTGTCTTATTAGTGACAAGATTTAAACCACTAGTTCACTTAATAGTATGTTGGTTATTTTTTGCATTTCTTTCAGCAACGACAGTGAAATTAGACTTTTTTTTTTTGCTTTATGCTTCTCATGCAGCAGCAGAATGCTATTTTAGGAGTTTCCAGCACTGTAAGACGCGATAAAAACAAGCAAGGTTCCCTCCACCATGTTTTGCCATGAAAAACATTTCCATTCATTTTAGATTTTGTAGAGTTAAAAAAAAAAAAAAAAAAAAACCTCTGAAGGTCCCACAGTAAAATTAGAGAACATATGACTAATGATCTCTGATATATTATCTCATCCCCTACCAGGGATTTTCCTCTAAATCAGCTCCCCCTCTCTTTTTGTGGTAATCTATCACTGGGTGAAATCCTGACCCCATTAAAGTTAATGGCAGTTTTGCCATTGATTTCAGTGGGTCAGGATTTCACACTGGTTTTGAAAAACTAGATTAGGGACTTCATTTTCTTGGAGGGAGTTTTTTGCTATCTGGAGGGAAGTTTCTTTCTAACTTGACATTTTCTCTTTTGTCCATTGGTTCAAAGGCTGCTTTCCCAATTAGCTATCTTTAAAAAATATGGCATAGTAGCAGTGTGTTGGATCAAATGAGAGAGAAAGTGAGGCAGTTAGCCTCAGAGATTCGAGGGAACATTTCCACACTTGGATGGCCCCACCATAATCAGATACAGCACTCAGCCTTACTTACTATACTTCTGTAAAAATGTAATAAAAATGGAATCACAGGACAACTGATTATTGCTACAACAGAGAACTTAGATTTCAAAGCAAGTCTAACTATAGCACTAATTTTATACCACAGACAGGTTGACGCTTTCAGCATTTCATCACCAGTGATATGGTTTTTTGTTTTGTTTTTTAATCTAGAGAAATGCTGTTACATTTCAGTTGTGGGGGGGGGGAGGGGAAGGGGGAGAAGGGTCATGCATATTTGAATTCCTCCCTTCATATGGGTTAACTGTGGCCTTTTGCATTTTACAGACAAGAACTTTGCCCTTTCCCTAAACATTACATACACTGGCTTTCATAAGGCACTAATTTTTTTTTTTAAAGCAAAATAACTTTAAATATTGCAGATCACATGCACTCCTTCTTAGATAAATTTTTTTACATTGTTTACAGTTCACCCTTCTTTGGGGTGTGGATGTCAGGCATCCTAGTATATGCCTGGGCTTCAAAAAGTTTTGATTTGTGAACCAGTCACTCTAAACTGGTTACCCTAAAATATCAGATCCCAAAGATGAAGATAATCAATTATGCTTCTTGGCACTGGCCTACTGATAAATTTGTAGTCTAGTCACAATATTGTCCAATCAGCACAACTATAAACATCAGCTTTGGTAATGGCCAATGTGCTAGTCAGAGTTGACTTTCCTTAAAAGATCTGAGAAATTGATTTAGCTTAACCAAGTCTGAGTGACTATCATTCAGGAGTAAAGAGTTAGAGAAGGGTTACTTCTACAATGGAGGGCCCCAGGGGAAAGGCTAACAATGAAACAGGCGTACATTAGAAGCCTTTATAAAAAGGAAGGGTCATTGAATTTTGCTTTCTGAGACTATATTTAACTGGAAGGCTTTTCTCCTTTTAATCATTTCAATGAAGATAATGAAACAAAAACCTTTATATAAACAGTTTATTTACTCTAAACAGCAACACAGACAAAACGCCATATAAACACAAAAGGAAGTGATGCAGAATCAAGATGCTGGCTGACTTTGGATCTCTGAGGCTCTTAAGCAATAACAACCTAGTTTCTGAAAGATAGAAAAACAAATTAAGGGGAGGGAAGGGGGTGGAGGGTATGATTTTTTCATACAGCCAGCTAGAGTCTAAATATAGTTCTAAACATTTTAAAGCATGCCTGCATCAGATAGCAAAGTAACTAGAGATACTAGTGAATTTATAGAAGTATAAAAGTTTATAATTTTACAGCAGTTGAAATACTGACATCAATATTAAAATAAAAGCAAGTTTTACATAACAATCAAAAATACAAAAGACTGAAGGAAGAGACCCTGTATGAAAAAACTGGGGGCAATTCAGCGAATTCAGAACTGTATACAAGTGGCGAATATGGAAAATGGCACACATACGACCCCCTCCCCTAAGTGAATATTAATTGTACATAGCAACATTAGATTTTGCAAAAATTTTGTAAACAAGTTCTTGCCAAACCAATCCCTTCCTTTTTAAGATGCTGTATGACAGGTGCTTATGATGGCGCAAACTTCTTGGCTTGTGCTCGAACCCTCTTTTCATATTCCACTCTGTTTTGGCTGGATATAAAAAAAAATAAAGATCATTAGACGTTTCAGATGTCAGTTATGTCAAGCTGCACAATCAATACTATCTAAGTAGTTCTCATCCATATGAGACCCTCAAATTATTCCTTAAGGCAAGAGAGATTAGGCAGAGATGAAGCATCTTACGTACTCATCACAGTAGGAAAACCCATGACTGAATTGACCGACGGGTAAACAGAAAAAAAAAAAATCTTGGCTATACCAACAGCTCACTGTCTAAACACTGCTCATTTAATTAATGAGAGGGTCATTTGCACTGTAGGACCCATTTGTTTGGAAAGAAGTGACTAGTCAAAACGGGTTGGTAGCCCGGGTAAGACAGAGCTCACTAACATCTGTCCAGTAGGGTTTGCTGCAGGAAATAGGAAGAAGATTGTATCTTAGAAGTAAAAGCATTTTGGGGAAAGAGACAAGACATTTAGAGTTACTCTGTTAGATTCGCCACAGAGTAGATGTCTGTGAAAATACCATGACATTCCTATTATTTCATTAAGTGCTCTTCATATACTAAAGTATTTAGACAGAAGGTGGGTGAGGTAGTATGTTACCTCATCTCAAAAAAGATATACTGGCACTAGAAAAGGTTCAGAAAAGGGCAACTAAAATGATTAGGGGTTTGGAACAGGTCCCATATGAGGAGAGATTAAAGAGGCTAGGCCTCTTCAGCTTGGAAAAGAGATGACTAAGGGGGGAATATGATAGAGGTATATAAAATCATGAGTGATGTGGAGAAAGTGGATAAGAAAAAGTTATTTACTTATTCCCATAATCCAAGAACTAAGGGTCACCAAATGAAATTAACAGGCAGCAAGTTTAAAACAAATACAAGGAAGTTCTTCTTCACACAGCACACAGTCAACTTGTGGAACTCCTTTCCTGAGGAGGTTGTGAAGGCTAGGACTATAACAGCATTTAAAAGAGAACTCGATAAATTCATGGTGGTTAAGTTCATTAATGGCTATTAGCCAGGATGGGTAAGGAATGGTGTCCCTAGCCTCTGTTTGTCAGAGGATGGAGATGGATGGCAGGAGAGAGATCACTTAATCACTGCCTGTTAGGTCCACTACCTCTGGGGCACCTGGCATTGGCCACAGTCGGTAGATAGGATACTGGACTAGATAGACCTTTGGTCTGACTCGTTATGGCCATTCTTATGTTATGTTCTTATGCTCTTGCTCCATGCTAAAAAAGCCACATTGACATGATCTTTAAATTCTCTGAATGTACTGTTTACAACCATTGCCTCCAATTCCTCTCTGCCTGCTGGATCCTGGACCCATTCCAACCCTGCTTCTGTGGTCTCCACTATATTCATGCTGTTCTCAAAGTATCTAATGAGGTTTTCTTAACTAAATCCCAGGACCAATACTCCATCCTCATCCTTTCTTGGTCATTATAGTACCACTCCCATCCTCCCAATCACTCAGGTTCATAATCTGAATGTCATTTTTTGGCTCTGCCCTCTCTATGAGCCTTCATAGCCAGACTGTTTCCAAAATATGGCACTTTTTCCTTCATATAGTCTCCAAAACCTGTTCTTTTCTTTCCAGACTGCCAAAGCTTCCATTTACACTTACCTCATCTCTGGTCTTTACTACTGAGACTTTGATCCCATAAAGCCCATTCAAGACACTGCTGCCAAAATAATTTTCCTTTAAGGTCTTGTCTCTTCCCCCGGTGCCCCTTTTGAATCCTTCTTAGAACTCCACTTTTCACCAATTCAGAGCTTCTAAGGCCAGAAGGAACCATTGTGATCATCTAGACTGACCTCCTGTATACTACAGGCCACAGAACTTCCCCAAATCTTTTAGAAAAAAACAAAACATCCAATCTTGATTTAAAAATGGTCACTAATGGAGACTCCACCAAGACACTTGATAAATTGTTCCAGTGGTTAATTACTCTCATTGTTAAAAATGTACACCTTATTCCCAGTCTGAATTTGTCTAGCTTCAATTCCAGCTATTGGATCATGTTGCATTATTCTCTGCTAGATTGAAGAGATTGTTATTAAATACTTGTTGAACCTTGTAGGTATAGACTAATCAAGTCACCCCTTAACCTCCTCTGTTAAGCTAAATAGATTGAACTCCTTGAGTCTACCAGTAAGGCATGTTATCTAATCCTTTAATCATTTTTGTGGCTCTTCTCTGAACAATTTATCAACATCCTTCCTGAATTGTGGGACCTCAGAACTGGACACTGTGCTCCAGCAGTTGCACCAGTGCCAAATACAGAGGTAAGATAACCTCTCTGTTCCTACGCGAGATTACTTTGTTTATGCATCCCAGGATCGTATTAAGCTCTTTTGGCCACATTGAGAGCTTATGTGCAGCTGATGAACTACCATGACCCCGAAATCTTTTTCAGAGTCACTGCTTCTCAGGATAGAGTACCCCATTCTATAAGTATGGCCTACATTCTTTGCTCCCAGATACATATGATTATATTTATCCATATTAGAACACATACTATTTGCAAACTAGACACAATCAACTCCGG